TTTGCATCATTTTCAATGTGCATTTGTCCACACTTTTTTCCTTTCAAAGAGACCACATTTGAAGAATGTCTATGTGGGGGCCTGGCCCTCTTTGGAACGGTAGGTCAGATGCAGAATGCTGCTGATATTTAGGACACAGAAGAACAGGGCTGCCTCTGGCAGCCATGGAGATTGGGTCTACCTCTGCTCTCTTTCTTTTGGCTGGAAGAGAAGGCAGACTCGCTAGTTCACACAGGCATTGTGGCTGCCTGGTTGTTCTTCCTCTCAGATGTGACCTTGATGTGGGGAATGAAAAGTCCTGGTGGAAATCAGTGGTTATGTAACACTCACTATTTAGATGGAAGAATTGAGGCAAAGGAAAGAGCTGACCTTGGTCCCCAGCAACCACACAGCGTGAGAATGAGGACTGTGTTATTAACAAAGGGCTTTGAATCACAGACTCAGACATGGAAGGGATCTTTGAGGTCATTTAGTAAAACCTCTCATTTTGCAGTTGAGGAAACTGAGGCTGAGGGGTCCTCCAACCTGGTGCACTTAGTCTCATTAAAACAAAAACCCAAACGAAAAGCAAAATTTCTACTTGTCATCAAGCATTTATTACCTGCCTAAATGTGATGCATGAACTACTTAGTACACACCGATGGAGGAGGGATGGCAGGAGCTCTGGGGGAGGAAAGACCCTGTGGGAATGAATGCACACCAGCTCCCGCCCTCATAGGGCCTCAGAGTCGCCTCGGGGCACTGACCCTCAGAGTAACCTGCCCACAGTCTGCCTGCCTCCAGCCCCGGTGCAGCCACTGCCCGTAACTTAAAGAAAATATTCTCCTGTTCACATTTGTCTACAAAGAAAATGAACAGAACCCTAGGATCTTCATGCCCCAGCTGTGGCTTTTACCAGCCTTGGCTCCTTCTCCATAGCTTAGAGTCTAGGAGAGAGAAGCAAGCAAACCTAAGTCTGAGCTGGTCTCTTATCCGATTCAAACACACGTCACTCAGTTACTTAACTGCTGCCCAGACTTTTCTCACCCAGGTCCTCTTCTACAGCTACTCTTGCCTTGACCAACACACAAATCCAATGCCGTTGTCCCTTCATTCCCACATAGGGCCCAGCTCAGATCATCTGGTTTGAAGGTCCCAATCTGGGCCCTTGGCAAGCCAGGCTACCCACATATTTGGGACAGGGCACGAAATATTCTCCATTCTCCCTGGGCATCACCATTTTCATAGCCAAATGTATTTTTTTCCAAAGAACCAAATCCCCTCTTCCCTCCACCAACACAAACCCCTAAAAGCATTTTTATTCGAATACAGCAGTAACAAGAATTTATGGAGTGCTTACTGTATCCTGTGTGGCTGGCCCAGTGGAGGCCTTGGAGACAGAAAGACAAAAGTGAACCTATCATAGGGTCCTAGATTCAGAGCAGGAAGGGCCTGAGAACCCTCACATTCTACAGATAAAGAAGCTGAGACACAGAGAGATTGTGACTCCCTGAATCATACAGCTAGTGACCAGGATGGGATTTGAACCCAGGTCTTCCTGATTCCAGTGGAACATCTAATCAACTACACCAGGCTACTTAGCTCTCCCTATGCTCCAACAACTAAATTTCCACACTGGCTGCATTTTGTAAGTATCAAGGGTTCCACGTGATGAGATGATCAGACTGGGAAAGATAGAAGGCAAAAGGAGAAGGGGATGGGCAGAGGATGAGGTGGACAGATAGTGCCATGGAAGCAACAAATATGAGCTTGGACAGACTTTGGGGATAGTGGAGGACGGAAAGGCCTGGGGTGCTGTGGTCCATGCCATCATGACAGACTGGACGTGACTGACTGACTGACCAACAATGCCCCCCTCCACCCTGAGCCTGTCACCTCTCTGTCAGGAGGTGGCAGCATGGAAGGTGAACTCTCCAGACTATATACCAGCATTATTCCCATAGCTCCATACTCAAGACCAGTTTGCTAGAAATGGTCTACCATCCCAGCCACCAGCCGACGTGCAATCTCACCTTGTCAAAAACCTCACCTATGAGTGATGAGTCCACATTCTGACACTCCTTTTATTCCCTATGACGCAAACATCAGGCCTGTCTATGTAATCACCCAACTCTGAGTTTTACAAGACAGTTCCAGGGCATTTGTGTCTAACTCTAAACCCCACTACTTTGAGGAGACTGCAGCAATATATCACAAAGATCACATGCTACAACCAGGTGGGATTTATACCAGGAATGCAGGGCTGGTTCAGTATTAGGAAAGCTAGAAGCATAACTGACCATATCAGTAACAAAAATAACAAAAATCATGTGATTATATCAAAAATGCAGAAAAGCTCTAGACAAACGCAACACCTGTTCCTATTAAAAACACCAGAAAGCACAGGAATCAATGTAACCTCTCTTAAAATGACAAGTAGTATCTATCTAAAACCAAGAGAAAGGATTATCTGTAATGGGGATAAGCCAGAAGCCTTCCCGATAAGATCAAAGGTGAAAATAAGGATGCCTATGATCACCACTATTATTCAATACTGGAAATGCTAGCTATAACTCTGATCAATACAATGGTCCAAGACAATGCCGAAGGACCCATAATGACAAATGCTACCCGCCTCCAGGGAAAGACTTGATGAACTCTGAGGGATGATGGAAGTATAATTTTTTCATTTTCTTTATATTCTTGTTTCTTATTGTTTTGTGTTTTGCAATATGGCTAATATGGAAATGTTTTGCCTGATTTCACACATATAATTGATATCACATTTTTTGCCTTCTCAAAGGGGAGGGGAGGGGTGAGAGAGAGGGAGAGAATTTGGAACTCAAAAAAATTTTTAAATGAATGTTAAAAATAAATATAAATGAAAAAAGAATACTAAAAAAAGAAAAGAAATGCTAGCTATAGCGATGAAACAAGAAGGAGAAATCGAAGGAATAAAAATAGATGACGAGGAAACAAAACTGTCACTCTGCAGATGGTAAGACAGGATGTACTTTGAGAGGTCGAGAGAATTAACTAAAAAACCAAAGCAATTAATAACTTTAGCAACGCTGCAGGCTATAGAATAAACCCATGCAAATCATCAGCATTTCTATATACTACCAAGAAAACCCAGAGGAAAAGATAGAAAGAGAAATTCCACTTAAATTAACTGCAGATAATATAAAATATTTTGGAATCTATCTGCCAAGGCACAGACAGGAACTATATGAGCACAGTTGCAAAACACTTTTCACACAAATAATAAAAACAGAGCTAAACAATTAGAGAAATATTAATTGCTCATGGGTAGGCTGAGCCAATATAATAAAAAATGGTAATACTACCTAAATGAATTTACTTATTCAATGCCATACCAACCAAACTACCAAAGAATTACTTTGTAGAGCTAGAAAAATAATAATAAAATTCATCTGGAGAAACAAAAGGTCAAGAATATCAAGGAAATCAATGGAAAAATGTGAGAGAAGGAGGTGTAGCAGCACTAGATCTCAAATTATATGACAAAGCTGTAATCATCCATTTTGGTGCTGGGTAAAAAATAGAAAGGTTGATCAATGTAACAGCTTAAGTATACAGTGGACAGAAGCAAATGAGCAGGGCAGCCTAGGGTTTGACAAACAAAGATCTACAGAATTTGGGGGGCAAGAACTCACTATTTGACCAGAACTTCCGGGACAACTGGAAAGCAGTCTGGCAGAAACTAGGAATAGACCAACACCTCACACCATACACCAAGATGAGCTCAGATTAGATACATGATTTAGGCATAAAGGGTGATATAAGCAAATTAGGAAAGCATGGGGGAAAAAAAATTCCCTGTCAGATCTATAAAGAAGGGAAGAGTTTATGACCAAATATGAGACAGAGAGGATCGTGGGAGGTGAAATGGATAATTTGGATTACATTAGATTAAATGCTGTTTCACAGACAAAAGCAATGCTGCCAAATTTAGAAGGAAAGCAGGACACTGGGGGAAAAAATTTATGGCAAGTTTCCCTGATAAAGGCCTCATTTCTCAAAATATGTAGGGAACTGAGCCTAAAATTATAAAAATAAAAACCACTCTCCAGTTGATAAAAGGTCAAAGGATATGAATAGGCAGTTTTCAAAAGAAGAAAAGATATCAATAATCATATGGAAAAAATGCTCTAAATCATTATTGATTAGAAAAATGCAAATTAGAGCATCTCTGAGGTACAACCACACACCCATCAGATTGGCTAAGATGACAGAAAAGAAAAATGACAAATGCCAGAGGAAATGTGGAAAAATTGATGGAGTTGTGAGCTGATTCAACCACTCTGGAGAGCAATTTGGAATTATGCCCAAAGGCTATAAAACTGTGTATACCCTTTGACCCAACAAAACTACTACTAGGTCTGTATCCCACATAAATCGAAGAAAGGGAAAAGGACCCACAAGTACAAAAATATTTATAGCAGCTCTTTTGGAGAATGAGAATCGAGGGGATGCCTATCATTTGGGGGATGGCTGAACAAATCGTGGCATATGATTATGATGGAATGCTATTGTGCTATAAGAAATAATGAGCAGGATGCTCTCTGAAAACCTGGAAAGACTCATCTTCACTGACGCAAACTGAGGTGAGCAAAACCAGAACACTGCACACAGGAAGAGCAATACTGTAAGAATGACCAATAGTGAGAGACTTTGCTACTTTAATCAACACAATGATCCGTGACGATTTCAAAGGACTCATGATAAAAAAATGCTACCCACCTCCAGAGGGAGAACTGATGGATTCAGAGTGAAAACTGAAGCATATTTTTTTCTTTACTTTTCTTGCTTTTTAATTTCACAAGATGGCTAATGTGGAAATACCTTATGTGTGACTTCATATGTATTTCTTGCCTTCTCAACAGGTGAGGGTGGGGTGGAAGGAGGGAAAAATTTGGAACTTAAAATAAAAATAATTTTTAAAAAATTCACTACTTTAAGCATTTCCCCCTCTTCCTTAAATAAATGAAAGAAGCTTCTTTTAACAAAATGTAAACTTTATTTTGACATCACAGAATATCTCTACCTGAAAATCTCAAGCATAAAGATAGAAGCTCTACATTGTCACAGAGAAAGCAAAAATACTTTTTACAATTAATTACAATTTTCAACAGAGAATAAGAAATAAACATTATTTTTTTAAAAATTTCATTGTTACACAGATTAAAGGCTAGATTAGAACAATCTCTATACAAAAATATTTCTTCTGACTTTTATACACCAAGAAATAATAACATATATATACATATACATGTATATTTCCATCAAAATTTTTAAAAGCATACCAAACTGCGGTAGACAAAAAATACCTTTCATTAGCTCTACAAGGGGCAGAACTGCTTTGCCTCCAAATAAAGGCTGTTCATTTGTAACCCTATAGCCCGACACTTCAGTATAAAAATAACATGAGGCTGTTGTCACCACTTTGCCATCTTCAAAATGATAAAAACTGGCATTCTTGGGTTTGCGAGACCCCTCGTCTATACGGCCAGTTTGTTTCCAATTTCCCTTATACTGTAAAAAGAGAGTAAGAGACTAAATCAAGCAAAAGTCTCCCACAGGCCAATAAAACCCAATGGATTCCAACGGCCGCCCCAATAGCCCCTTTCTTAACTTAGCCTTGAAATGCTAGAATTCTTCAGGGTGTTGTCATGTCTCCTGTACCCCTCTAGCAACAGAACAGATCAACATTTTAGTATCAGCCACTTGGCTTCATATTTCCTCAGAAAGGACAGGAACACACCAGAATTATTAAAATTGGTTTTCTGTGTTAAAATTCACAACAAATGTTAATCTATTTTGTGGAGAAAGAGACAGGGCTCACGTGCAATCCTTTTTCCTGCTGGGCTCCTCCATTCTCCCGTGCTCCCTTGTCTGTTCCCGTCAGATATTCCTCTCTTGATACCTAACAGAATAAGACAAAATGGTGTGATAAATAACCCCTTTCCCCTATGTATTAGCATGAAATGCCCGCCTGCGTTTCTGTATCCACCAGCGTGGTCTTTCATCTCACTCACAGGCTACCAGGAAGCAGGCATCAAATGTTCTTTTGGGTTAAGTTTGGAAATTCACTAGGCATCTGTGTGTTCCTGAGAAGCATCAGCCATCTCTCTGGAGCAACTAAGGAGAAGAGGGTCGGAAAAAGATTCGTAAAGGAGAAACAGGACCTAAAGTGGGTGTGAGAGATGATGGGGACAAGAGAAGCAGCCTGAAGACAGAAGTTTAAAGAAGACGATTCTGCCGGGATGGCCAGCCCTAATCCCACCAGCTTCACTTGAGCATTTTTGTTGGTTTATTCCTTGCTAAAATATAGAAAGTGTTTTAAAACGTCCCATTATGAAAATAAAGGCCTACCATGGCTCTGTAGGATGTCTTATCCTGCGGCCTGTTTGGAACCTGCTGCAGGAGGCACGAGACTGTCCAGCTGCTGGCTTTGTCCTGTGTTAATCAACCACTCATAAAACTTGTTCTCAACCAGCACCTGGAATTGCTTCCTTTGATCCCTAAAATGTGGAAGATGGGGATGGAGGAAATAGGGATGGGGAAGGAAAAAAACAATCAGGGACTTATTAGCTCCCAGGATAACAACATTTTTTATCCCACATCGTCACAAGTCACACGAATATCTCTACTGGCTGAGCCATTTCCAAATTTCCATTTTCTCTCCCACTAAACAGCCCCCATACTGGGGACATGTAGACTGCCAAAAAAACCAACCAAACAAACCAACCCCCAAACCCAAGACTTCCATAAAATCCCAATCCAGCACAGCCATTCCTTCTTCCCAGTGCATGAGGTGCAATACTTTGCTACAGAAAGGCACTGGACTGGGCACAGAGGATCCTCTTTACCAAAAGACCTGGGTGTCACCCACAGTTCTTTGTCCCCCTCCCCGTCTACAGGACGATGGCACTCTAGTAACTCTCCAGACAAGCAGTCCTTGTCTTCTCACTGCCAGTCTCACCTGGCACCAGTCAAGACAGAAAAGTCTCGTCCAACAAAACGCATCAACGTAGCCCTTTCTGTCCTTACTCTGGACTTTGCCACCATGCCTCAGCAGCCTTCTCCCTCTGCTCCCGTAGCTCCCTTCTCAATAGGATGTCCAGGAGACACCTCCAAAACAGGTTACCTTCTCCCCACACCCTCCCCCCTTCTACCTTCCCTATTACTGTAGGTGGCACCACCATCAGCCCAGGACCTCAAGCTCCCAACCCAGGTGTCAGCCTGGATTCCTCACTGCCTCTCACCCCCCACATCCAATATGGTGTCAAGGCCCGCCAATTTCACCTCCACAGAATCTCCTGAATATGCCCCCTTCTCTCCTCTGACACTGCCCTCATCACCTCATGCCTGGGCTATTACACTAGCTCGGGGGGGCGGGGTTCTGCCTGCCTCAAGTCTTTCCCCATTCCAGTCCATCCTCCATTCAGCTACTAAAACTCAGGTCTGATTATGTCACCCCCTGCTCAGTAAACACCAGTGACTCCCTATGGCCTCTAGAAGCAAGCACAAAGCCCTCTGTTTGGCATCTCGGGCCCTTTGTAGCCTGGCCCCCCTTCTCCCTTACTCTCTGATCCATAATCCTGGATCCACCCTCAGTTCTGGGCCTTCTCTCCGGCTCTCTCTCATGCCTGGAATGCTCTCTCCTCTGCTCCAATTACTGATCTTGCTCACTTCCTTCAAGTCCCAACTAAAATCCTTCCTTCTACTGGAAGCTCCCCCCAACCCCTCTAAATGCCTTCCCTCTGTTAATTATTTCCAACTGATTCTGCATAGAGCTTACTTGGTATGTATGTGTTTGTTTCTTGGCTCCCCCGTTAGACTGCAAGCTCTTCGAGGGCAGGGAATGCTTTTTGACTCTTTTGGTATCCCCAGCATTTAGCACAGAGCCCAGCATACAGTAAGCACTTAATAAATGTTTACTGACTGACTTTTTTTCCACTGATGAGTTCCTGCCCAAACCTCTGCTGTGAGAAGGGTCCAGACCAGCCCTCCTTCATTCCTTGGACTGCGCCACCATGCCCCTACACAGTGGCCTTGCCTGGCACGGGGCAAGCTTTCAGTCGATTCCTGTTGACTGACGACTGACCAGTGACAACTTCAGGTCGCTGAATTCAGCAAAAAGGAGCAGATGCTCATTGAATGACTGCCAGCTGCTATGCAATGTCATCCAAACTTCCCAAGATAACCAATCGCAAACTCGTGGAGATCAATACGAGGTTAAGAGGCTCATCATCAGGAAGATTAGGTATCCAGTTCAAACCACTCAGCGCTCTGCCAATGGGCCCCACTGACCTCGTTTCAGTTCTTCTCCCTCCCCGTTCTCTCACCGTGCCCTCTGGGGCTTTCACACCTTTGCCTGTGCTCATGTGCCTACTTGGAATGCTCTCCCAAAGCAGCTCTCCCTGGCCATGTCTTTTTTCTTTGGAATGTAAGCTCTCTGAGGGCAGTACGCACTGTCTTGCCTGCTGGTATCTGTATCCCCAGCATTCACCACAGTGCCCGGCACATAGCAGCAAGTGATTAATAAATGCTTTTTCAGCCACGCACTCAAATCTTACAGCTCATGATCTAATTCAACCTCTGTCTCTGCCCTAAGACATCTCTGATGATCAGGCTAATTTCTTCGGCTGAATTTCATACACTGTTATTGCCTGCACCGTATAACCCAGCACTTAATTTTCTACTATTCTGTAAAATTCTTTGGTTGCTTCTTGTGTGTCAACCTTATTCCCCCCACGGCATTATCAACTTCTCAAAGGTAGGATGTATGCCTCCAGCTGCCGTGGCATACACGGTGTACAGCAGGGTTCCTTAAACCTGGGAGTCGTGGCCCAAGTTTAAGAAGTGCTGGTGTACGGCACTCAAGAGACGCACTATGCTGAAACAAATGGACACAAACAAGCTTGCACTCTAGGACTTCGAGGGAAGGCTTGGGTCCTCTGAACAGGAAGATTACGGCGTTGATGATTTCCAAAGAAGTTGGTTATTTTACACAACAAACATATTTTTGCTACCAGGAATGACTCACTCACTTTGTCAAACCTGCTTCCTTCACCGTCTTCTGCCAGATGTGTATCTTCTGTTCTCGTTGGCTCAGTGCCTTCTGATAGGCTGGTGGGAGACCCCCGGGAATCTCTGTTGTGTCCCCTTCCATCTCAAATGGAATCACAAACACATAGAACTCACAGGGGGACAAGAGTCGGAAGACCCTGGAGTCGTTATGCTCCCTGCACACAACCATCGGCCTGTCCCAGTAGTTGGGCATGGTGGCAAGTCCGGTCTTGGCCATGTGGTCTTCAAGCATTGGGTAATGAGTATGGAAAGGTCCGAATGTTACCATCTGATTGCCAGACAGGAGAAGAGGGCGTGTGGGTGTCAAAACGTGAAAGGTGCATCCCGTGGTGGAAGACAAGGACAGACGATGGCAAACAGCAATGACCTTCATGTTGTCACAGCTGTGGAGGTGAAGGGTGGTTTGGACAGGCCCCAGGACCAAAGTGCTGCTCCTGCACTTCTCCACGGTCACCGACCTGAGAAACAGAACAGCAGCAAGTGAGGGGGACCCTTTCCTCAACCAGAGGCCCTTCACTTTATGAAAGTAGAGCTCCTGGGCCAATGGGAAATGTCATAAAAAAAAGAGCACACTTCCAGATCAAAAGAAACACAAGAGCCCTGGGACGAGCTTGCTTACCGTAATGGGGACAGCAGGTATATAAAAGACTCGTTGCAACGGTGAATCTTCACATGGCCCCGACTAAGGTCTCTGAGCTCTTGGCCAGTGTCTGCTTGTACACCTGGGTCATCACCACAATGCGGTGTATCTTGGGGGCCATGTGCGTGTTACAGGCAATCTTGGCTCTCTTGGTAGTTCCTTCAACTGCAAACACACACACACACACACACACACACACACACACACACACACACACACACACATTAAATACAGTTCAATGAAACAGTTTAAAATGGAGCATTAGTGTCAAGAGATATTCACGTACGTGCAATAAGCACACTTGACAATGAGGCGAAACAAGGTCACAAAATGTGAGCCAGGCCCACCAGAAACCATGTTAGGTTTCCCAACGGAGCCAGACAGTCTCTTCTAGAGTCCAATAGCCTCTAGTTCCAAAGATCCGATCTCCCCAAGGCCAATCCGACAGGTGGGGTCAAACCCACCATCTGTCCTTGTTGCCAAGCTGCTGAGCACTGCTGGAAAAAGCTACAGAATCACAGGGATTTGGCACAACAAGCCACGCTCCTGAACTGAAATGGGCCTTCGCTGCTTCCAAGCAGGGCTTTGTCATGTCTGCCGAATTTGTCCTGTGCCCTGCTCCCAACACCCCCAGCCCTACCCTCGCCTTCCTCACTCTCCCTTCCAGCTTTACTGAGCTGCTGCGAGATCTTGGCTCGATAATCATCAAATGAACAGACTGTTATAGGAAATGAACTGGATCAACTTCAACAGGCTTGCTACACCAAGACCAGAAGACAACAGTGAGCTGTAACTAAAAGGCAGGATGGCCCATAGGCTCTATTCACAGGGGCAAATCAAGGAGCTGAACTGCCTGAGGGTGACAAGAAACACAATTTCCTGGGATTTCTGGGTCCCTTCGCATTGCAGCACGCCCGGTAAGTGCTGCAAAGAGACCACCGTGAAAACAATTGCCTGGATTACTGCACTAGCTGCCATGAGGCTTACCTGCCAAGTGCCTCTCCCCACTCCAGCCCATCCCCCCCTCAGTCACTAAAAGAATTTCCCCACAAACTCCAGTGGCTGCCTGCAGCCTCCAGGAGCAAAGAGAAAACCCTCTGCTTGGCATTCAAAGCCCTTCACAGCCTCGCTTCCTGCTGCCTCTCCACTCTTTTCACACAAGACGCCCCAACACGTACCGCTGCATGCGGTGCCTCCCTGGCCTCCTGGCTGGTCCACCAACGAGATTCACCATCTCTCGGCTCTGGGCCTTTTCAGTGCTGGCCCCCGTGCCTGGAATGCTCTCCCTTCTCTGCTATGATTAGTGACCTCCATGGACTCCTAAATCCCCTCTACAGGGAGCCTTCTCAACCCCTCTTAATTCTAGTAACTTCCCTTACTTATCCAGGCTAAAGCTTCTTCTGTCTCTATTTGTTTGCATGTTCTCTCCCTCATTAGATTGTGAGCTCCTTGAGGTCAGGGACTATCTTTTGCTTCTTTCTGTATTCCCAGAGCTTACCCCAGTGCCTGGCACGCAGTAGGTGCTTAAAAGAGTCTGTTAATTGATTACATACCCAGAGGATTCTGCAAAGAATCTGGAAAGAACAACCAAATCAAATCAATCTACCTTGCGATCCTGGTACATCAACACAAACAAAAGTGGATAAAAGTCATGACTGAGAAACAGCGAGCTGGAAAATCTCAGTCACGAGTAAGGCAGGGGAGAGGCCACCGTATAGGCGTCTCCGGCCTAGGCACTGTGAATACTTCCTTTAAAAAGAGCTTCGGAAGGTGTTACACTTGGCAAATTCTAGTGATACTGCCAAAAATCAATACTGATTACCTGAAATGACTTATTACTACTCCAGTGGGAGTCATGCTCAAGCCAGCTGCGTACGGTCAGACTACTGACTTGTTAGAGAAAAGATCGAAATTAATGTGAAATGAGAGGCATGAAAATGAGGAAAATATGATGTAATGAAGGCCACTGCAGCCTGACCTATTTAAACAGGTCACTGACCCTGAACAATGGGAAACGGATGAAAGGAAGGATAAAGACACTAATTATGAGCTTCAAGCCAAAGTTTAACCTATAAATCAAACGCCTTACCAGGGAGCCCCAAAGAGCCTAACAATGGCTTCCATTAACAAAATCCATGAACTGCTCGCCAGGCCAAGAAATACAGCCTCCAATGACACAGTTTAGAACAGAAAGTTAATAGCAAAATCTCAGAGAAGGATGACGGTACATGATTGCTTCATAAATAGAAAGAAGCAGTTGAATTTGATGAGCAAAGTGGCTTCAAAAGGAGGAAGAAACAAGGGAGAAGAGGGCAGAATTAGCTGAAGTAAAGGCCGATGAGAGAACCAACTGGCAAAAGCTTCCCAAGGTCATCATTTAAAGGTTGGACTGGAAAAGACCAATTAGAAAATGTTTTTAACCAATTCATTTCAGCATCAAGGGCAAAGCAGAAAGTATCGCACTGGAACTTCGGCATCACAGTCCCAGAGAAGCCTCTTGAGACAATGGAAATGGCCTTGAATGAACAAAACTAGGAGACCAGAATAATAGATATTTGTTTAAATATCTTAGACCGTCTCCTTGAGGTTGGTGTACTTTATGATAAAAGTCCCCAAGCAAAAGAGGGACATCCTCCTGCTCTTCGTCCCTCCCGGGTATCTTTCTTCTTTGAGGTCAGACGCGGAAGACACGGGGCCATTTAGACCCCAGGAACGACAAGTCATTCCACTGGAGATGCACGAGGACTTAGAACCTACCTTGCTGGGCCCAAGCCAACTTCTTCCCAGTCTTGAGGCAGGCAGATGTGCCAAACGGGTTTGCAGTCAAACGACACCTGAGCCAGGCTTCCAGCTTTGAGAAGGAGAAGGTTTCGGAAGTCTTGGAGAAGCCGCTCTCGGAATGCAGGGGCTGCCAGAGCGCGAGCTCGTGGAGTGGATAGACCTTCCTGGCTTTGCTGACTGTGCCTTCAATGAGAAAGCTGAGAGCCTGCACAGCTTCGGGAGAGACCAGGCTTTTGTGGGTGGAGTGGGAGGCATCGGTGAGCTGCTCTGGGTCCAAAAGGAGCTCCAGGAGATTGGGCAGGTGATTATAGACAAAGGCTTGGTGGCTGCAATCGTCCCAGGTCTGAAAAAAACCAAAAGAAAGCAGCCTTAGTGAAGAGAAGAGCTTTCATTAGACATAAACCCTGGACTGGAGCAGGGGTGGCGAACCTGTGGCCCTCTAGGTCCTCAAGCGAAGCCCTTCGACTGAATCCAAACTTTAAATCCACCTTGTTCTCTTAAGTTGGAGGACCCAGAGGGCCACACGTGGCCTCAAGGCCCTCACCCTGGACTGGAGACAACTAGGTGGCTCCGTGGATAGAGTGCCAGTCCTGGAGTCAAGAAGACCTGAGTTCAAATCCAGCGTCAGACACTTACTAGCTGTGTGACCAGTCACATAAGCTGTTTGCCTCAGTTTGCTCATCTGTAAAATGAACCACAGAAGGAAACGGCCAACCACTTCAGCATCTTTGCCTAGAAAACCCCGTGGACGTCACGGTCCATGGGCGACTCAACAGCAGCACTAAGACGGCCCGAGACGGGGTGCGAGAGGAGCCCGAGGGCGGGTTGTCACAAGAGCACCCTCACAGTCGCGGACCAAACAGCTGCTCACAGCAGACGTTCAGTCGGCTTCAGAGACGCCTTCCTCAGTCCTCTGAGAACAGGCGCTTCGCCGTCCCCCGGGAGAAACCGCGCTGCGTGAGCTCTGAGGGGTGAGGGCCCCGCCGGGAGCCACGGCGCAGCGGGCATCTCCGTGGCGGTCCGGCTCCCAAGACCCACGCTGCCCAATGCCATCACAACTCTCCCGGCACACCCCAGCATGTCGTTCAGGGGGGTCTAGCCCCCTCGCGTCATCCATGCAGATGCGGAGCCGGACTTTACAGAGAAGCCGTATTCTGAGGCGGCCATTTATGGCGGGGAGAGAGGAAGTGACTTATCCACAGGCACACAGCTAGTGAGTGGCAGAACCAGGATGCGAGACCAGGTCTTCCCGACTCCAAAGCTGGCACCGTGCTGCTTCCTCTGTGTTCATGACCTCTCAAACACCTACAAAATAGGAATTATGCACAAGATGGTACGATTTCATCAGTCTCCATGGCCCGACGCTAAGAACCACAGCATGTAACAGCTCAGCTCATTCCCCTCTCCAGCCGCCATGCTGTGGCACGGCCGCCCCACCCAGCCTGCAGGCTTGCCACAGAACTCAATGCTGCCCCCTTGGGGGACATCCAACAAAACAAGAGAGTGATGCCGTAGCACCCCACGATGTGCTGCTTGTAAGGAGCTCACCTGAAAAACAAAGCCATTCAGAGAATCTAGACGAGAAGTGAGGACAAAACCGTTCTATCAATCGTGTGTCACACAAAGCAAAAACAAACACTCCCAACATGAAAAGAGATGATGACATCTGGATGAAAAGAGCCACAGCTCATACAGGTTTTCCTATAGCACTCCAAACTTTTCAAAATCCTTTTAGAGACACAGGTAAACCGTCTTTCAAAAGAGTCACCATATATCAATTTTAAACGTTTCATGTTCATAGGAGATTGTTAAATTTAGCTTTGGACTGCAAAATCACCTGAAGACTGACCCCACCCAGTCTATCCCAGCACCTGGCATACAGTAGGTGCTGAATAAATACTTTTTTGGATTGACTGGTTGATAATAAATCTATTAATGGGAGTTCAAAAGCATTTTGCAAAGATAACAAAAATCTTATCAAACATGCAAATGGCAAGAATTCATGTATTTTTAACGGATGGAAAAGTGAATCACATGGAGATGTGGGCGGCTTCTCCACCAGTAAGTGCAGGAAAGCTGGGGACTCCTCTCCTCTCTCACTGGCAGATTACTGACTCAAAAAGGAATCTCAGACTAATGGATCACAGGGCTAGCCCAGTCGACGTGTGGTCTGTTCACAAGGCAATCACAACGCTGGAACCACAGTAAGTACCTTATTTTGACAGATGGATTTCCCAGTCAAGTCAGGGGATGGAGACCTGTTTCTGGGACTTGGCCACTCTTCTCCAAACAAAGACGTTCTTAAGGAAACCTTATTTAACTGCTGTATATACAAAAACAGCAGGAACTGAAGGGTGTCCACTGAGAGCTGTCCAAGAAGGAAATAAGAAACCGTCAACACGCCTATCGACACAGACAACAAACAGGCTACATCAAAATAGAGCACAGCTACATTGATTTCACCATAAGACAAAGAGCCAAAGGAGGAGAATCACTCATGTGTATTTATATATATTTTAGTTAAAAAGCTGTAGAGCTTTCAAAAATTGAACCAATTATCTAAACAGCATGCAGATACACAGCTGAGGGGCTTCCGTGGTCACTCCCCAAAATGACACCAAAATGTTCTATTTAGTAAAATTTTTTGAAAGTTCTTTGTTTTAAACGTTATAAACTCAAAAATCATTCTAACAAAACCTGTTATCTTAAAATCAAATTCTATATTATGTATAATTCACAGGCCCCACTAACAGTGAAATTTAAACAAAACTGAAAAAATACAAGAGAGCCTGAATTTTCTGAGAAGCCCTCCTTCCTAAGCATGTCAAGAGTCTGGTAAAACAGAGACAAAAACAAAAACACAAAGTATTTTTAAAAGATGAGTACATTTGCATAAGTATAAGCTGGTCAAAATGCCCTATTTCGTATGATCCATTCAAACTTGTTAGTCAGACGGTGAGCCAATTTGCTTTAGTATTTAATGTTCTGGCCATTATTTGGGTAATTAGGTGCCCTGGACAGTGTAGGAACAATTTCACGTCCCCTGGTCTGTCTTTCAGAGCATCCCTTTGGATTTGTTTTTCCAAAATGGTAACAGGGTCACACTAAGTCATTCATAGATGTACCTGATCCCCTCTAGAGACCAAAGGCTGATGCCTGTCGAGAACACAGTCCCTTATTGAAATTTAAAGGGAGCAAAGAGTTGATTCTAAAAGGGAGAGAATGGAGCATTCTTGCTAAGAGACCAATCCAATTATGTTATACATGGGGTAATCCTGAAAAGTCAAGAGGTATTTGGGACATGGGATTTTCAAAAATGTCAGTATCTCTAACCTCACATGGTATGTGGAACAGCAAATAAGGGACATAAATCCACATACACTGTCCATGACATCTGGGACCAGGGTGCTACTGGACTCTGAGGCACTCTCACTTTCCCCTCAAGAGTTTTCTTCATTTCAGTTTCCTGGTCAAAATTCTAAGCTGGCATCCTGCTCTTTTTTTGTAGCTCACCACAAAGTAGCAATGGTTCCTTAGTTGACTCTTCAATACGAATTATTTCACATATGGCACATTAAAAATGAAAGAATAGGGCACACTAAGCTGGAAGTTAGGAAACAGTTACTTTTCCCGGCTGATCTTTTTTCTCGATCACTCCATTACCAGAACTAAACATTTTCTGCCCTTTGTTGCTTTTAGGTTTATCCACACAATCGTGTGATATGCTACAGACTGAGAGGACAGAGCCTGCCTCAGAGTCTGAAAGAGTTGACCCGACCTGATCTGTGGCTTGAAGCTTCTGACACATACTGGCTCCTACAGGGAAATCTACCTCTTGGTGCCCCAGCAAACTTCTGAAGACAAAGAGCTTCCTCCATCAACGAGACCATAGCCTAGGGCTGGCCCTGCTTCCAAGGATTCGGCATTTAAAGTAGTTTCATTTGAAAAATTAACTAGTTCTTCAACCTACTCACTACACAGAAAGAATAATTAGTCTTCCCTTCTGGGCTAAGAAGCTGCCACCCCCAAACTGCTTCCCTCCTCCATGGGGTCTCTGCTCTGTTGCTGCTGGAGAAGGTGACCAATCATGACGCTGGACCGGCTAAGATTAATTCAGAACCAGAGACGCCAGCTGCTCTGAGGCCACAGATGGCCTCCCTAACTGATACGCTGCGATGGTACAAATGGTGGTTTCTATGCTGCTCGAACCACAAAAATATCAGGACAAACACCTACCTTACTCCTCTGCTTCTCCACATCCTCCTCACAGGTGCAGGTTGATACCAATTCAGCCCACTCCAGACGCTCCTCCGGGGTCCTCGGCACCAGACTATCGAAGATTTCAAAGTAAAGCCAAGCGATGTCCCTGGCCAGCTGCAGCTTCCCACAGGCAATATGCCTCCACGTGGGCCAGAAGAGGCGTGGGTAACCTCCCTCCCTGGCTCGGGTTCGAACATAAGTGGATATCTTTCTGAGATAGTGAAGGCTGAATTTGGCTGGAGGAGGCAGAGGCAAAGTGCCCACTATAAACGGTTCTGTTCTCACCCACAGGTGGACAGCTGAGTGCGCCATTTTAATTCAGATACCATCTGTCTCTCTAGAGACTCTTTTGCAAATCTAGGAAACAAAGTTTCTGTGTAAATCACCTGGAAACAAAAACATGCATACATTTATCAGTGAGACGCTGACAACAACATATTGAACTATTTTCAAGTGAACAACAGACTGAAGTAGCACAGAGAGGCCAGCAGAGTTCTGGCAATATTGAATTACAGGCAGCTGGTACTACTTAACACAAACAATTCCTACCTGTATGGCTTGTGCTAGCTGTTTTAGACGAAGTAAGGCAAGAAGTGGAAATCTGTGCCTGTTTGGTTATGCTCCTTCTCTGTTACCAGGTGCCTAGCCCACAAGAAGCCTAGTGTGTTTGGCTGATATTAATGCAATGATTTTGTGAGATTACAGAATTAAAGCTGGAAGGGAACTCAGTGGCGGAGTCTACTCCCTTCATCTGAAAAGTGAGGAAACTGAGGTCAAGAGTTCAATATACACCTAAGGTCACACAGGCATTATAAAGCCCTGCAGGGTTAGGGGAAGACAGCAGATCATGGAAATGGTTTGAAAGCAGCTCTGTGCACCAGACCTGAGAGTCTTCGATGTCGCAAGACAATCTTACAAAGAAGAGACGACTGTGAGCAGAAAAGCCGGCCTAAGGAGAGCTTGTCGAGACCAGAGGAAGCAGAGTTATTATCTCCAGGACATTTAAGGGTGAAAACAAAACCCAGAAGACAAGTGGAAAAGCTGCCAAGACGTTCACAACCCAGTTTTTTCTCCATCAACAACAGTGGAGTCAGTGTGCTCGGCCTCTGACAGTGCCCCTGGATAGGCTTTTAGAGGGTAGAAGAAGGCTAGATTCAGGGAAGAGTGCCAAGAGGAGTCCACAGCAAAGCAAGCACCATTAGGAGGGTGACGAGGGATCGATTCTCAAAGAGGGAAACTACCAACGGCGAGACACAAAATCTCACCCCCATCAACGCCAAGCACAGGTGAGCAAGAGAATAATGGCGGCAGCGGTGGCTGCCGCCCACCCACCCACGGGCCAACTCTACAGCTTCCCTGAGAATCACCTCCACAGGCACTGTCAGCATCCTCAGAATCAAGGGCATTAGTGGCAAGCCGGCAGCCTTTGGCAAGCACTATTTCCCGCTGGACCACATCTGTACAATTACATAAAAGATAGAATGTAAGGTGCTTGTTTGTTGGCTTTTTAAAAGCGTGTGATCTGGCAGAGAAAAAAACGCCACCTTGAGCAAGGCTCTTTCCGAGAAGGTGTCTCCCACCCAATCAGTGAGTCAGCCGGTCGATAAGCACACTTCAAGGTTCTACTACCTGCCAGGCACTGTGCTAAGTGCCGGAGATCCACAAAGAGGCAAAAGACACAAGAGAGAATCACGTTCAGTGACCCTACGATCAAAAACATCGAGTGAGGCACGTAACAGGACGATGCATGCTTGCCGGCAGTATTGGCCACTGACGGAAGAGCTCCCTAACTGCTTATGAGAGGTCGGCCTGACTATCCACGCAACAAAAACCAAATGGATGAAGACTATCTATTACTCAGATTATGACATGCAGTTACATGGACAAATCCTAACTCCTGTCCATCAGTGTGTGTATCTGGGAGAAATAATACAAGTAAAGTGGCTGGGCCCACAATTAAATAGGACAGGAGTCGGCTGGACTGCCTCCAGCATTACAAAGCTCACAAACTCCTCCCAGAAACAAGAGTTGTTAATGCCCATTTGTGTGGTTGTGAGGCATGGAGCACAATAATCCCCGAGGAACTAAAAATGGCACACAGAGTGGCTGTCCTAAGTATGGTTGGGGGCAGGCTGCAACACATGACACAAACCAATGAAGAACTCTGATGAATAGGAGTTAGGATACCATCAGGGCAACGTGTACTAGAAAAGGAGGCTGGATCGGTTACACGGTGAGGAGTGACAGACAGACGGCCCAAGGGCTAGAATGATGTCCTCAGAGGTCAGGAGAAAGGAAAGAAGACCGCCAGCAGATGAAATAGACCTCCACTAGCAAATTTACAGAAGGACATGGAAGAGTCATACAGGAAAGGGATGGATGGGTAGCAGTCTGCAATGCCAGTGAGATTGCCTGGATCCACGAGAGCACAGATCTGAGAGAAAAAGCAGATGAGACTGGAGGACTTGAGATTATCATGATCTCAGTGCAATACAAGTGTGAAAGTATCAGACAAAAAAACAAGGCAAGTCATTCAAGAGACCTTTTATAAAGAGCCTTCTATACACTAAACACTGGGGAGGCCAGTTCTTGCCCTCAGCAAGCTTATACTCTACTGAGAGAGATATAACAGATCCAGATGGGGATAAGTTAATTTGAAAATAGGATAATTCAGAAAGAGATCATTAACAGCAGAGGTAATCCAGAAAGGCTTCACACATCAATGACACCTAAGTTAAGTCTGGAAGGAACAGGCCCTTAGCCTGCCTTATCAAGTCCAGAACATGGATGTCTATAGGCCAGCTGTGCTCTACCACGGTCAGAATATCCATCATGTCCTATTTTAAAAGGGACACTGAAAAAGCTGCCATAAATTTAGAAAAAGGCAATCAGTTGCCTTTTCTGTTGTGATACAGGCTTACCTGACTGTTTGGGGATTCACGACCTTGTTCCAAAATCACAGCAAATCACCTGAAGTGGGTTGCCAGGACTATGAAGGTACAGGAAAGTAATGTGGAAGGGGCACGAGTGATCTCCAACAGAAATCTTACCCTAGATGGGCTTGCTGAGGACATTGAATGGCAGTGATGCTAGCGGAAGCCATGTCACTGAGAAATCTCTGACACGGTCAGCATATCTACAAAATTGGCGGGTCTACTGATGCTGCCTGGGGCTGAGGTGATCCAGAGGAAAAACTTCTTCAGTTCCATAGGTTTCTTCTAAGAATTTAAGGGGCAGGGGACTTTGCTTCTCCATTTTCCAGCCCTGTTTTATCTTGCCTTCTCCTCAACCTCTATACAGTCAGTTAGATACATGCTAGCATTCACCTGCATCCCTGCTGTCCAAAAGAGTATTCCTCCTTGTTACCAAGTATCCTGGATGAATGGAAAATGCCACAGGGCTGTATTGGTCATTCTGAGGAAACTGAGGGGGCAGAAACATTTCAAAAACCACCAGTGGAATGTTATGCACCTTTCCTTCCTTCCCTGTGGGAAAAACTAAAAACTAAAGATTTCTTTTTTAAAGGCTCTAGTGTTATTTTGGAAAAGTTATCTATTCTTCTTCACTGAATAATTTCCCAAACTGTTAATAAAATGAAATAAGGTTGGAATAAACTCTGCCTCTGAAGCACACATCAACCAGGCTATTGTGCTGAAATCTTTTCCCTCCGAAAATCTTGGAAGACAAGCCAACTTAACAACGAGGAGGTTAAAAGAACTGAAAACTATGTCTGTCACATTAGGATGGATTGAGGGAACCAGAGATGTTTATTTTGGAGAAGAAAAAAACACAGAGGGAACTTGACAATTGTCTGCATATACATGAAAGGTTGCTGTGGGGAAAAGGGATGGAACTTGTATTTGGTTGCTGAGGGCACAATTCCGACAAATGGGTGAAAGCAGAAGCAGATTTCGGGTTCAATACAAGAAAAGTTTCCTGATTAGTTTCCCCTGGCCTCAAGCACAGGGTCCCCCGAATGAGAGGTTAGACAAGAGGTCGCCTGAGGTCCCCAAAGCTGTCCTAACTTTTCTCCTTTCCTTTTGTTTTGAAATCATGCTCAAAAGTGAAAGGATGGTGGGTTTTTAGGCTGAAGGGGCAAGCTGGACCACTAAAGCACCCTCCCAGAGACCCTCCCCCCGCTTCCCATCACTCCCCCCTTGCCTAGTGCCTTTGGGATCCAGCATCTGCTTCACCCTCCTGGTTTCCCACCCGGGTCAAGCCCAGGGGCACAACTCCCAGGACAGGGGACGGAGACAGACTGGGGTTCAACGTTAGGGTGGGCACTCACTGACCTGCAGGGAGTGTTACCCCAGACCCTCCCCACTCGAGAGGGCCATATGACCACCCCCCAAGAGGAAAGGCGTCAGACCCTCCTCCAGGGGGAAGGCCATGAGCACTGAGCCCCCTCCCCTGCAAAACGAGGCCGTGCTCTACGGCCCCCCAGACCTTTCCCACTGGGGAGGCTGCGTGACCCCGCGCTTTACATGGGGAGAAGCAAATGAGGCCATAGGGCCCCTCCTCAAATGAGGAAAATCTGGGACCCTCCCCCTCAAATGGGGAGGCCGGAGGACCTCCCCCCCTTAAAGTGGAGGGCATGGGACGACCCCCCACAAATGCGGGGAACCCGAGACCCCTCTCAAATGGGGAGCCCTGGAGCCCTCTTGTCTTAAATGGGGAGGGTGTCATGGGTCAACCCGGGACCGCCCTCCGAAGGGGTAAGTACCCCCCCCACCCCCACCCCCCAGACCACTGGCCCTGGACGTTACCTGAGAGCGAGCACCCAGGCAGAGCAAGGGGCGGGACGCGAGGGACTGCCCTGACACCCGCCTGCGCCTGCGCAGAGTCCTCCTCTGCGGAGGCTGAGGGGAGCCACGGCGCAGACGCTTAGGCACAGCAGGAGAGACTCCAGTCCGCCGGGAGGCCTAGAGCGGCCTCTTCCAGCAGCTGTCCGAGATTCGGACCGGGCGGACGTGAGATCACGTGGTGCTTCTCTGCTGTCACGTTGACAACCTCCGCCTCCGAAGTATAACAGTGAATTTCACTCGGCTAATATCAATGGTGAGGGCTCAGTAAAGATTCAGTTGCAGTTGACCCCAGACTTTGAAAAAAACCTAACTCTCCAGTTCCCCAGACAGGGACTGCAGTAAAATTCCCGATGATTGGCTCCAGATTAGGTAAGAGGGTCTACCGCTTTTAGGGATTGGCAAAGGGAGACAGGAGGCGGGGCTCACAAAAGGCGCTACTGCTCGCAATTGGCCAGCAGTCCGTCATTTTGCTCCAATCCAAGAGACGCGTATCGCTATGGGAAAAAGGAGGGGGCGCGGCGACGCCGGTGACGCTACCACCTGTGATTGGTCAGCCCTAGGATGCCGCTCTCCCGGTCCGTCCCTCACGGGAACGCAATCTAGGCGTTGAAGTGTCCGTCGGTGATTGGCCACAGCGCCGGCACGCGCTGATGCCCTGGGCGCTGATTGGCCTGTCTCTGCATCGGCCCCGCCTCCCGCGGGGAGCGGGGACTCCCGGGATAGGGGAAGAAGGTGCGGGTTTTCGCTGAGGAGACTGACCATGGCCCCGCACAGGCTGGGCGGCCTGTGCTTCTTGCTGCTCTACATGCTCGGAGCCGTGATGGCGGGGTGAGGAGAGCGGGGCGTCGGCGCGGAGGGGGTCAGGAGGCGGGGGAGGAAGGATCGGGGAGGCTGAGGGGCTGAGGGAGGGAAGCGCTGCCGGTGATGGGGGGTGATGGAGGAGGGGATTGGGGGGCTGAAGACTGAGGGGGGGCAGGGCTGTCTGGGAGGGGGCGGGGACGAGGGCCACAGGGCTATGCTGGGGGAGGAGATGGGGGCAGCGTGAGGGGAGACTGAGGAGTGAGGGGATAGGACTGTCTGATCGGGGGGCTAATGGGGGAGGGGATGAGGGACACGGAGCTTTGTTGGGGAGGCTGAGGACTGAGAGGTCGGGGCTGTCGGTGGTGGGGGAGGGATAGGGGCAGTGTCAAGGGAGGCTGAGGTTGGGGGGTGGGCAGGGCTTCCTGTGGTGGGGAGGGGACGAAGGGAATGGGGCTGAGGAGTTGGGGCTGCCTGTGATGGAGGAGGGGATGAGGGCACGGGGCTGTGTTGGGTGGGGGTGCTGGGGCTGAGGGGGCAGGGCTTCCTTGTTAGGGGAGGAGGGGAAGGGGGCAATGTTAGGGGAGGCCGAGGACTTAGGCGACAGGGCTGCCTGTGATGGGGGGGGAAGGGCTCTGTCCTGGGAAGAGGGCGGTGGGGGTGGGGAGCAATGTCTGTGCTGGGGGGAGTGACGAAGGGGCAAGGCTGTCTGAGAAAGTGGGGGGATGGGGGGCACATCTGTGTGCTTGGAGGGGCAGGGTTGGGCAGGTCGAATGGATGGGGCAGGAGGGGAGGAAAGCAGGGCTGTACTGGGGGAAGCAGTGTCTGCTAGGGAGCAGTGTAGGAGAGAGGTGAAGGGGTAGGACCGCCATGGGGGGATGAGGAGGTGAGAGAGAAGGGCTTGGCTAGGAGTAATGTTGGGGAAGCTGAGTAGTGAGGGGAGCAGAGCTCTTCTGAGAAGGGGTCAGTGGCAGGTGCATTGCCAGGGAGTGTCTGGAAAAAGCTGATTAGGGATAGACTTATGGGAGACGTGGCCATTATCTGTCAGGTGGGAGTAGAAGTACATTTGTTTTGCTTGGCCCCGGAGGACTGAATTAGGAGTCAGCAGGTAGAAGTGGCAAAATGTCAATTTTAGCTCTGAGGAAAGGGGAAAAAAACAAAAATAAAAACCTGCTAATAAGTGGAGCTATCCAAAAGTAATATGGACTGCTTCAGGACGTAATGGATTGCATACAGTATGTCTTCAAGAAAAAACTCAATAACCAGATTTGTAGGTTAATGTTGCAAGAGAGTAGGGTTCTTATTCAGTCTTGGGTTAGACTGTGTGGTCTCTGAGCCTATCCAACCCTGATCTCTAGATAGCCCCTTCCAACTCCTGTGATTCTGGGCGAGGAGGGAGCAAGACCAGGAGAATGAGGGGATAAAAAGAAGCCTCCTACAGTGAGGCTAGAAATTGACGGGAGCATCACAGGTCAGTACTCCTTTATTGGGGGAGTGGCACTGGACTGACTGAAAAAGTGGTGTAGGAGAGGGGAGTGGAGAGAAGAATCAGTGTTGTGTTTCACCTCTGGGCGGAATGTCTTTAAAAAGGTGAAGAGTGATGTTGTCAGGCTGAGTGGTGTATGACAGAGGGGCAAGACTATACTGAGGCAAAGGAAGTGAGAACCTTTGGGAGCCCTTGTTCTTCCCAAACCCAGTGGAGTATATATTGGACATCATCACCATCTTGTGTTCCTTGTGTCCCTGTCTAGGCTCCTTGAGTGCCAATGTGAAGTAGGGGAAAGAGCACAGTTGGAGGCGGAAGACCTGGGTTCTAGTCCTTATTCCATCATTTATTAGCTGTGTGACCTTCTAGATGTTACCTAACCTCTCTGGCCCTCAATTTATCTGCAAAATGAGGATAATCAGGTATCTGAATGAAGGCAGGGGACTGGACAGTATGATCTAGTAAGCTCTCTTACAGCTTTAGAATTCTATAAGATTAGAGGTAGCCATTTCTTTAGTACCATGATATGATTTCCTCCTAAGTGCTTTATTTTTCAATTCAACCAGCACTTAAAGAAATGTCTCTACTATGTGGAAAGTACTCTGCTGGGCATTGGGACTTAAAACTCTGCTCCCAAGTACTTTACATTCTCTGGGGAAATAAAAAATGTAGAGAGAAGTCAAATTGGATAATATGAGGAAGAAGAGAATATGAAGAACTAAAGGGCACTAGGAAAGGCTTTTGGTAGGAGATGGTGCCTGAGCACCTTGAAAGTCATTTAGGCTTCTTGTTGTCCTTATAAGTAAATATAATCTCACTGCTGCTTAGATGTAAAACGTTGATGTATCTTAAGGTTTTTAAGTGTCATTGACATACTGTGGAGGTCTGTCTAGAAAGTGTGTTTCTTGTACTTTATGTTAGTCATGCCTAATATGGCAGGTAAATGCTATATCAACTACCTGCTGCCTTACAGTTGAATTTTTTGAAGTGTTACTACCAAAACAGATTGTATGAAAATACTTTACCATTCTGGAAAGACCACTTGTTTTATCCCAGACCATTTTTATTAGCTTGTTCTGGTCAAACCTTGTTCTAAAACAGTATTAAGATTTGTGTTAATTATAACATTCCTGTAGTTGAAAATGTTAGAATACTTTTACAGATTTTCAGATAGGTACTCAATATTTTAAACACCTTTGTGGATATTTTATAACCTGAGACTGATTCAGTTCTTTTACCCTATAGTCTAATGGGAAAGAGAGCCTTTGATAGAACTGCTAGGTTCCAGGTGTTCTGTACAGCACTGGGATATGTCCTGGAGTGCAGCACTTCTACCTGCCTTTACTGCTTTATCTCTACTTTTCTAGTATCGTTGTTACCTACAGTTGTCAAGAGTGACCTGACCCTCCCCTGGAAGATGAGGATAGGTGGTACTTATAATTTATTCAGAAAAACTTGTACTAGGAGAGGAAATGATTCTGGGAGGAAAAACGTATTTTCAGGAACTTGATCCCAAAGTATCTATCGTCCCCATCAGTGAGGTCAGTGTGACCTCACTCTTTCCTGAAGCCCTAGACTATTGGTGAACTTTTACCAGTTCTTGTGAGTTGCCTTTGGTCCACTAAGAATAAGTTAATGCATAGCTTTTTATGAAGTTTTAAGCTTGCATAACCCTTTTCTCATGAGGCGGGAACTTTATTAGTCTCATTTTATAGATGAAGCTTAGATGGGCCAGGTCCCCTGCAGGCCACATGTTGACCTAGAAAACCACAAATTAAAGTTACCTATGCTGTAGTGTATTTTTATTTATTTTCTCAAACATTTTCCAGCTACATTTTAATCTGGTTCTGGCCATCATTGGGGAGTTTTGTGGGCTGCTTACAGTGACCCTTCTGGTTGAGATGACTTGCCTAAGGTCATACAACTAATCGGTATCAGAGCTATTGAACCCAGAGTTCTCTTCAC